AGTAATTAAAGTGTATTAAAAGCTGGTATTAAAATCTGGCAACATTCGGGGAGTCTATACTCACCCCTCAGTGGAAAGTGAAATCGACTGTGTCCAAGCAAATATAAGGAAAAAGGCTGACTGTCAAAAGCCATTTTTCTTGTATCGCGTTAATAGAGGCAAAGGGTGACGTCACATTCCAAGGATATCTTCTATGAGCGCTTGGAGCGCACGTACGATCGCTGCCCCCGTCATGATATCAAAATCGTGCTTGGCGACTTCAATGCCAGGTGGGCAAGGAAGGGATCTTTGGAACCACCGTCGGAAAATTCAGCCTATACGACGAAACGTCCGACAACGGATTGAGGCTGATCGACTTCGCCGGGCCCGAAACATGGTAGTATGCAGTACTAGGTTCAAGCATAAGAAGATCCATCAAGCTACGTGGCTGTCTCCGGATCGAAAAAGGAGAAACCAAATCGATCATGTTGTGATAGACGGAAGGCACGCTTCCAGTGTTTTAGACGTACGCACACTCCGAGGCCCAAACATCGATTCGGACCACTATCTTGTTGCAGCCAAGATACGCACCCGCCTCTGTGCAGCAAAAAAGGTGCGCCCAAATATGCAAGGACAGCTTAACGCCGAAAAGCTGCAATCACAACAGACAGCCAGCGCTTTCTCTACTCGACTCTCACACCTCCTCTCAGAGAGCACTCTTCAACAAACCGACATATGCTAGCATTGGAACCACATTTCCCGCTCATTAAGTACCGCCGCCGAAGAAGTAGTCGGATTTCAGCGAGCCCGAAGAACAACTGGTACGATGAGGAGTGTCAGGAAGCTGCAGAGAATAAAAAGATGCCGCCTACAGGGCCACGCTGCCATCGGGCGCAACGCCCGCTATGTGGGACCGCTATAGGGATCTGAAGAGGGAAGCGAGACGTATTTGTCGCAATAAGAAGGGAGAGGCCGAAATACGTGAGTGCGAAGAGCTTGAAATGCTGGCCAACAGGAGGAATGCCCGGGGCGCACTCCTGTAAGGACAATAATGTGACCTAGTAACTGATGTACAGAGCGTACTTAAATTATGGAGGGAACACTTTTGCGCTCTACTAAATGGTAGCAGCACGGAAAGTTGTGGAGAAGAACCCGAGCCCGCAGTCGGTGATGACGGAGTCGACGTTCCACCGCCTGACTATGACGAGGTACGTATAGCAATAACGCCGGCTGAAAAAGAACAAAGCCGCTGAAGCTGACAGCCTGCCAGCTGAGCTATTCAAGTACGGCGACGAGGAGTTGATAAGGTGCAGATGAACGCATGTCCGACGACTGGAATTTAAGTGTGCTCTGCCCAATCCACAAGAAAGGTGACAAGGCCTTATCGAGCGTATTGTGTGAAAGACTGAAGCCCACCGTCAATGAACTGATTGGGCCTTATCAGTGTGGCTTTAGACCTGGCAAATCCTTCGTAGACCAGGTATTCACAATACGCCAAATCTTGGAAAAGACCCGCTAGGAAAGGATCGACACTCACCACCTATTTGTCGTCTTTAAAGCCGCTTTTAACACCACTAAAAGGAGTTGCCTATACGCCGCTATGTCTGAATTTGGCATCCCCACAAAACTCATACGGCTGTGTAAAACGACGTTGAGCAATACCACCAGCTCCATCAGAATTGGAAAAGACCTCTCCGAGCCGTTCGCCACAAAACGGAGTTTCAGACAGGGCGACTCCCTTTCATGTGACTTCTTTAATCTGATGTTGGAGAAGATAATATGAGCTGCAGAACTGAACCGCTCAGGAACAATTTACTGACATCGATATCATCGGTATTAAGAACCGCGAAGTCTGTTCTGCCTTTTCCAAGTTGGATAGGGAAGCAAAGCGAATGGGTCTGGTGGTAAACGAGGACAAGACGAAGTATCTCCTGTCATCAAACAAACAGTCAGCACATTCGCGCCTTGGCACCCACGACCACTGTTGATAGTTACAATTTCGAGAAAGAAGAGAATTTCGTTTACTTGGGAACCAGCATTAACGCCGATAATAATGTCAGCATTGAAATCCAACGCAGAGTCACTCTTGCCAACAAGTGCTACTTTGGACTGAGTAGGCAATTCAGGAGTAAAGTCTTCTCTCGACGTACGAAAACCACGCTCTATAAGTCACTCATCATGCCCGTGCTGGTATATGGCGCAGAAGCATGGACAATGACAACATCCGATGAGGCGGCTCTTGGAGTGTTTGAGAGAAAGATTTTGCGGAAGATTTACGGGCCTTTACGCGTTGGCGATGGCGAGTACCGCAGACGATGGAACGATGAGCTGTATGAGCTTTACAACGATATGGACATAGTGCAGCAAATTAAAATACAGCGGCTCCGCTGGCTTGGTCATGTCGTTCGAATGGACACCGACGCTCCAGCTCTGAAAGTATTCAACTCGGAACCCGCTGGTGGTAGCAGAGGAAGAGGGAGGCCCCCACTGCGATGGAAATATCAGGTGGAGAAGGACTTGGCTTCAATTGGCGTTTCCAATTGGCGTCAGTTGGCACAGAGGAGAAACGACTGGTGTGCTTTGCTGAACTCGGCCAAAATCGCTAGGCGGTTACAGCGCCAAAAAAGAAGAAGACCCTAATGTCAAGCAAATCACTTTACAGTATAGTTGGTGGCAATTTCAAAATGCCACCAGACGAAATACCTTTAAAGCTTAAACGCATAATAATATTGGAAATTGCCTTTTTTAAGATATTTTTTTTTTTTTTTTTTTTTACTTTTCTACCTTTAAAAAAGCCCATGCGGCTTATAGAAGCGCAGGGACCTCTTGCCAAATTGGTGTTGGAAAAATGCAAAGCCGTTTTCTCAGCTAACAAAGGCTTGGTGACAATAAGGGGTGTGGATAAAATTGTAAAGGACGAGGCAAACTCCCTTATACCTGATAATATGAACGTTTCAAACGTTCCATATTTAAATTGAGTTTCAGTTTTATCAACTTACGTCGAGCGCACATTTAGTACATTCAAGGCTTTTCTTCACGAAAATCGAATGAAAATGCTGCCAGAAAACTTTAAAATGCATCTTGTGGTTCAACGTTACTACAGCGCTAACTGACGGATTAAATTGTGAAACTAAACCATCCAGAGACCCACTCAAACACACACAAAAAATTGCGTTAAAATCCGTACTCCCATTTAAGAGGATTTCACTCACAAACACACCTACAGAAGAATTATAAATACATTCAAATAGCCCCAATTTTCTCCATAAGTATGGCCTTGATTTCATATACATACATATCTCCATACGAAGTTCCAGTACTGCACCATGAATATTTTCAGAGATATGCAGTATAAAAATTCGGTTTGTATGGGAGGTGCCACGCCCCCTTTTACAATAGCTCCAATTTTTCTCCAAGAGTATGCGATTGAATTCGTATATCTCCATACCAAGCTCCAAAACTCTACCATGAACACTTCCAGAGATATGCAGTATGAAAAATTTGGTTTGTATGGGAGGTGCTACGCCCCCTTTTCCAATAGCTCCAATTTTTCTCCAAGAGTATACGATTGATTTCGTATATCTCCATACCAAGTTCCAGTTCCATGAACACTTCCTGAAGTTTCTAAAAAATCGGTTCAGCCGTTCTCGAGCTTTGCGAACACTAAAAAACGGCTTTCACAATATATATAAGTATAGATATGTTATATATTATTATTATATTTTGGCTGTAACCGTTGTTTTTGGTTGTCGCAAAAAAAAACTTGTCTAGAGACGAATTCGGCCTTTGATATGGTGATTGCTCAAAGCTATTTATATTCGAAACTGCATGAAAATTTGAAAACAGGATCCTATGAGCTTATCCAGGCAAAAAGCTACCTACGTACAAAATTTTAATCAAATCGGACCATAAATACGACTTTTTTAAATAGATCGGTCCCTGGTTCATGGAAAAAAGGATCCTATATGCTATTCTAGGCATAAAACTACCTACATACCAAATTTTAAGCAAATCTGACTATAAATGCGATTTTTGCTAATAGATCGGTCCCTGTTCCACTTCCCGGAAAAAAGTATCCTATACGCTAATCTAGGCAAAAAGCTATCTACGTACCAAATTTTAAGCACATTTATTTATTTATTTATTTAAAATAAAAAAATATAAGTTTTTTGAATAGATCTGTCCCGGGTCTACTTCTCGGAAAAAACGGATCCTATATGCTAATCCAGGCAAAAAACTACCTACATATGTACCGAATTTCAAGCAAATCGGACCATAAATACTATTTTTTTGAAAAGATCGGTCCCTGGTCCACTTCTCGGAAAAAAGGATCATATATGCAAATCTAGATAATAAGCTACCTACGTACCAAATTTTAAGCAAATCGGACCATAATAAGATTTTTTCGAATGGATCTGTCCCTGGTCCACCTACTGGAAAAAGTAAATTTTTTTTGCCTAAAACATGGTGGTTGCTGAAAGCTATTTATGTAAAAAAAATTCATGAAAATCGGAAAAGCCGTTCGCGAGATTACCTGTTACAAAAAAAGGGACTTCTCTTTATATAATTAGTATAGAGTATAGATATAGATTAGTATAGATAGATATAGATAAGTGTCTTAAATTTGTGTAATATTTTTGTAACAAGCTACCTAGCTATCTGTATAATAAGCTAACCTTTCCAAAATCTGCCCGTATAAGCGACTTAATTGTATCTAGCTTTAATTATCTTAACTCTTCAAGACTATGGAATTCTATTCCACCTGATACTCGCTGCAGCTTAAACAAGGGCAACTTTAGGAATGTGTTGTTTTCGTACTTTCGTCAATAAGTTTTTTTACTCTGAGTTTCGCTATCTGCAGCCGGATTCCAGCTTTCGCTATCGCTAAAACTCTACAAATCTCCAAAAATCCAAACGCTAAAAATTATCCGAACTTTAGGCGATTTTTCTTAAATGCGATTCCGGCTGGTTCATCTCTAAAAATCTCCAAGGAAAATTGTAATACTTTTATCCGCCGCAGGTGTCGCTGGTGTAGTTGAAGAGAAATATCAAATTTTGTTTACTTTTATGGCCCACGGGAATTTAGTTAAAATTTGTAATTTTGATATAATTTGCTCTAAATCAGAAATTAAAAGCCGCAATCTCGGTCTATTTCATTATAATATTAAGAAAGAGTGTTGTGCTAATAAATACGTGGTCAAGATGAGTGAGTTGCGAAGATATTTGTTTCGTATCTCAGTGAACTCTCAGCGAGCTTTAAGGAACCGTTTGCGAAGCAAAAGAAAATTGTTGCGGGAATCCATGGATCCCTTCTGTATTTCAGAGGAACGGTTCACAGAAATTATTCGACTTCCAAAAGAAATATGTAGAAATGTTTTTAATTAAATCCGCCCCTTTACGTTGCAAAGGACATCAAGTTGTGGATTGTCGAAAGTTTTAAGGTTCCTTGTAGCATTGCGATTTTTCGCTCAATTATGTACATATATACATATATATATATATTCAATGTTGTATTAATTGAATTCATACTTTTTCAGGAAGCTATCAACGTTCGGTGGGACAAGACTTCTTACTTAATGTATCCCAAAGCAGCGTCAGTAGATGCATTAGAGAAATTGCCAGTATCATGGACAAATACTTGTTAACTAGATACATTAAGTTTCCATCAACAGTTGAAGAAAAACAGGCTGTAAGGAAAATTACTTATACTAAATTAAAAGTAATATTACTTAAGATAAGTTTGTGATTCTTTATTTTAGATTTTATCAAGAGTTCAGATTCCCTGGGATCATAGGAGACATTAAGGGATCGCATATTAAATTAAAGACTCCATCCAAAGACATTGAACATGT